TGGTTCATGATATTTGCCGTATAATGAAAATTAGTATTTGAAATACCTCCGTATTTATTAATTATTTATCTGTTTTTACTGAAAATCGTATCTTGAGTATATTGACCTTTGTTAATATATGAAACGACTTGAAAAGTTAAATTACAAGATAGTTAACCTCAAATACTGTTACCAATGTAATTTTTTGTAGAATATAGTTAAGTAATTTTTATTTTCTTTTTTTGTACTGTATTTTCTTTTTTTTTTAATGGAAGAAGAAGGTTTGTCGATTAAGTATAATGGTATACCTACCTACCTAAGAAAAATGTAACAAATGTTATGAAGAAATAGAAAAAAATGGCCCAAGCTAGCATCGAAAGGGAGAAAGAGGCCTTGCTGGATGTATATCCAAAGACTCGTCTTAATTGTGAATCTCAAGTGAATCATGACAAAAACTCTTGTGTAGACACTAATGGTGATTTGGAATATAGTGACTATAAAAGCTTGCCGAACAATAATGTGTGTTCAACAACTGAATTGTCCCAGTGCCATAGCAAAGAGATGGCATCTGATACCCCCTTATCTGAGCAGCACTCAGAAGCGAGTTCATCCAATACGCCATCTCAGGAAAGTGACACCAGATCAGTCTACTCTCCAGGTAAATAAAAACAAGTGTAATAATACTATTAAAACATATGTTTGTCAGAGAGATTTAAAAGAATTAATTTAATAAAAAGTTATACACTACTTATCATTATNATTGAAACTAAAATTATTTATTTATTATTTTGAATAGATACTGCAAATCCCCAGTTAAATGTGGGGGTTTCTTCTTATATAGGTTCAGAAGTCCCATTCATGTCAGATGACCAAGAAAGTGAACTATGTTTTCCTCCAAATTGTTCAGACGGTCCCCCTTCTTTGGGTGATAAACAAGTTAGTAATGGAGTGTTTGCTGTTAAATCGAAACGTAACAAAGTTACCAGATCGTCAGGTGAAAGGAAAAAAGTAAAGATGGGGAGCACATCGGCGAGGGGCCGACCCCGAAAAACGTTTGTCACCATGTATCATAGTCAGATAAGCGGCGACAAAGACACCATCAAAATCCGTATCAAGAAAAGCAACGCAATCACCCACGTTAAAGTACGTTATAAATATTTCCTTTTTATTAAATAATTTTAAAGTTTCATGCCTTAAAAAAAAAACAAACCCGTAAAAAGTACAATCACCTTCATCCCTTTTATTTTCCAGACTAGTGGGATTAATATTTGCACAATAATTGTTATTCTAGCAACCTTTTTTTTTAATTTCATTAATAACTCTTGTCAAACCATTTTCTTAACAGAAATTCAGTTTTTTATACTTTATTAGTTACCCAGCAAGAAGAAAAGTGGACGGCGGAAAAAACATAAGACAACATCCGACACGGATGCCTCTGATCACGAAACAAGTCGCAAAAGAAGTCGATTATCTCAAGAGATCGAAGCGGACTTGGTAACGAGTACCCAAGAACCTCTAGAGCAAAGTACATGGGGCAAAGACATGCCCGAAGAATTGCTGACAAGAATATTCAAAGATGTTTGCCATTCCGACGGTTGTTTGCCGGCCCTTGTTAGGTAGACTACAACCACTTGTTTAAACATATTTCCTTTTATGTATTGTACTTCTTTTTTTTGAAGGTTGTGTCAAGTGTGTAGACTCTGGCAGAGGGTTGCCCTAATTCCTACCTTGTGGCAGACCATTGATTTAAACTGGGTGAAGAACAAATTCCGAACTGACCACAAATTACACTGGTTGATACAAAACCGTTTGTCTCATTGTGAAGACTTGAATTTGGGTATAAAATTACGAACATGTAGTATTAAACTTGTGTATTAAAACTGTGTTTCAGGTGAATGGAGAGTTCGGGATGTACAGAATGTCATTTTAAGCCTTAGTAGAAATTGCCCCCAGCTTGTTAGTTTAAATTTGAGTGGTTGGAAAGGTCTAATGGCTGACCATTTTAAATTACTTTCATCAGAATTTCCCAAATTGCAACGTCTTGATTTATCATCAATAAGTGTAAGATTTTTTTTATTTTTTACTACTGGATAAGAATAATGGTGATATTGCAGTTATTAGTAGAAAATTATTCAACCTTTAGTATAATTCGCACACATTTTGTAAAAATACGGGTTCCTCAATATAGAAGATGTAAGGGTGTTTTTAATACCAATACTTTTCAAAAATTGGGCAGTATTATACATTAATTTCTTGTTTTACTTTCGGTTTGTTAATATATTTCTTAAAAGGTTTTCTAAATAGTTTATCTAAAGATTCAAATGCCAGTAATTCTTGTTTCAATATTTTATGTTTTTTTTTTTCTTTTATTGTAGGGATCTTCGTTAAATTCCCAGCCGTTGGTCCACCTCGCTCAGACCATGGGCAATCGTTTGACCCATCTTGTACTCGCTCATAACAAACTTATAGGTTTCACACTAATAATGACCGCTTTATCGGTAAGTTAGACTTTTATTAGTTTCAATTTTTTATTTAGGTAATCATCTTTTTTGCCAGGAATGTTGTTCTAACCTTCAACTGCTCGACATATCGAACATTCGGACATTTTCACATAATACAGCCCTGTTGCGAGTCGAACGGCTCCAGAACGGTTGCCCCAAGCTTCGCGTGTTGCGCATAACCAATAGCGAAATATGGCTGGCTCCTGCAAGCATACCAGAACAGGTACGCAATAAAAATAATAAAAAGGATAAACTAATTGTACTGTTTTTCATTTCTGTCTAAATTGTAGATGTCATCGCCGGGATTCCCCAACCTGGAGGAGTTATCTTTAGCTGGTTTGGAAGCTCAGCAAGCCACAGCCAGGACTATAGACAATGATGGCATCGAAAGGATCTTGAAGAACAGTACCAAATTGCGATTGCTTGATGTGCGGGGTTGCATTCGACTCACTGACTCTGGTCTTGTAAAAGTGCCGGCTTGGGATCTGGAACATCTCTTTTTAAGCGGTAAGTTTTTATAAAACGTAATGTACAAGAATCTTTAGTGGCAGAAATATTTGCAATACATTTTTTTTTCAGCTTGTTACGTTACAAGGACGACCAATTCTGGTTTAGAATTAATTCTTCAAAAGTGGAGCCACAGTTTGTTAGAAGTGGATCTGGCCTGGTCGACTGCAACGGAATCACTCGACGCTGCTGTTCTTGCCCTGGCCGAAAAGGGCGACGATTCGCCCTTAAGGTATATAAAAATTATGTTTTACAATTAATTAAATAAATGAATAGATAATATTGACCTGCAATTTTTCCAGGAATTAGCTATCATAAATGTATTTGTAATTATAGGATCAGACAAAGAAGTCAGTAAAAAATTATAGACTTTGTAAGGTATCATTATAAAGGGGTGGCTATGACGAGCTTTAAAAATTGTATTTTGTTTTTTAATGTAAGGGGTGACGTAATATTTGTAAAGGAAGTCGCTGAAAGTGGCTTAGCGTGACAAAAGGGGGGTGGGGTCCAAGAAGATGAGATTCTGAATGATATATTTTATGGACTACCCTTATGGTAAACCGAAGCTGAAAATCACCGGTAATTTCCCTAAACAGTATTTTCTNAGTACCTAATTTTATTAATTTATTATTTCTGGTTTTATAGTACACATTTATGTGATGTCACGGTTTTACGTCAATTTTTTAGTCATTTTTATAAATTGTATTTGAAAAAATGCTAATTATGTATGTCTAATCATTACTTTGTTTACTTTTTATTAGGGTCTTAAACTTGTGCGGTTCGTCTGTAAGCCTTGACCCGGTGAAAGCGGTGCTGACAAAGTGCCCCCAACTTCATTCCATTAACTTGCAGTCGTGCAGAGCATTGCCTCGCGGCATCAAGCGTCTCTACACTGGCAGGGCGGCAGTTGCCGAGTTACGCCGTAGTTTGCAAGACAAACCAAAGACCGAAACGGATGACGAAGAAAGCAGCGGAGCCGGAAGAGGAAGAGGTGCCACCAACAACGACGATGAATCTGCAACAGGAGGAGTAATAACAGGGGCGACAGGCGATCAGCTAGTGACCGAACAACATATGCCGATTACATCCACCCATATGCCTTCATCGCTTTATCCAACATCAGCCGAATGACAACCAAACCGCAAACACGAGGGTGAAGGGAGCAGCAGTGGCATATGTAGAGTGAAGGACAGAAGTGTGTGAGTGGTGAAGGGAAAATAAAGTGGGCAAAAATAGGGAAGAAAATTGTAGTGAAAGTACCTGTTCATGTTGTTCTACTAATTACATACAATGCTTAGGTTGGTAGCCGTAGTTGAATTGACGCCAACCAAATGAAGAGTCGGGCACCATCACCACCACCATCTTACCGTTGCTTCCCACCCATCCTCTTCTGGCTGGTTAACTGAAAAACGCCTTCACGACTTGCTCTAGTCGCTGGCGATGTAGTGTTGTTGTAAATACATACTTCTTGTTTGTGACTGATTGGGAACGAATCAGAAATAAGAGACAGGAAAACGGGAAACTGTATAAAGGCGAGTTTATTATTGTTTTTCCCACATATTTTTATCTCTTTCTCTTACTAGTTTCTTCTATTTAATGAAATCTCTTCTTAATTTTGAATGCAAAAAGTCACGTTTTTATCTGGTCCTTTTCTTTACAAATAAGTAAATTCTGCTTTTGTTTTTTAACAAGTTATTTTCATATAGATATATTCAAAATTCAACATATTCCATTAAAGTTAAAGAAGAAAGTAAATTAAAAGCACTGTTAATTAATTAAATAAAGCAATAAAGATAGAAATTTTAAACAACAAAAAGTTGAAACGTATTATGTTGATCTTTAACAGATAAATTTTATTTATTTGTCTAGTTAAATATTGTTTTAAATTGAACCTAATGGTCTTTCATTATCAGTCATAAAGAAATGACAAAGAATCGTTTCAAAGTACAAAAAAAACATGAAGAATCGGCAAAGTAATTCTAATGGTCCCATTTAGATTTCATGGCAGGGTACATGATTATTAAATTTACTAATTTTTTTCCATTGAGAAAGTAAATAATGGAATAGTTTTTTTTTTAGTTTAATGATTTATTAGAAGTTAGGTATTTCGATTATCCCGTAATGAAAAGGAACTAAAGTATTATTTTACACAGAAATTATGCATAAGATCAATTTGAAACATAAAATGGGACATAATCAATTGCAATTCATTGTCTTTAAAATTAAAAGAAAAACATTTGGAAAACAGCTTGTGAACGAAAAGGTTTAAATTTGCTGAAGACAACGGAGTGGAAGTTGTTGTCTTTTATTCCTTTAAAATCAAAAACCAATTTTACATTTACATGTAACAGAAAAACACATTATTGAAAGAAGAGAAAAATATTAATGATAAATAGCTCTTGTTATAGGCACTTGTGCCGTTTTTATAATATTTTTTTCTCATCCTTCAACTTCTTTTCATCTCTTAGTTTATAACAGTCCTAATAACTATTTTTATTATTTATTTGTATGTGACATTGTTACTGTATTTTTATTTACGAGAATATTTTAATGTTGTAAGTCATATGGGCTTGTGTTTTTAAAATAATATAAAACCGCAATTAAAGCTTATACTTTTCACTGTTTATATAATATATCGTTACAAAGATACCCCACAGTAAAGTATTAAAACCTCTCTTTAATCTCAAGGAAGAGCT